TTTTTAAAAAGTACTCTAAACTGTATAAATAATGTAAAATTAAATTGAATTTATTAGCCAATCAGACGAACTTCTGCTATGTCATATATGCACATCAGTCCACTCTATTTCTACGTAGTGTGTTCCCTTGATGTAACATTAACGGTTTTTGAGACTTACGCAAAATTACATAACAATTACAACTTAATCAGTGGCGTATAACGATAATAAGCATATTCTAAATAAGATCAGGTGTAACACGGAAAAAAATATCACCATAACTCTAAAATCAACAAAAATCTGATTCTAAAAAATAACTCTCGACAACGCTAGCGCATTTTAAATTCTGGATCTATGAACGGTTTTTAATCAACATTTTTAAAATTTCGGCCAGCATATTTTTATTCTAACCAAATCTTAGCGTTAGTATGTACATTTCCGAAACCATGTGATTAAAAAAATTTCTGTTAAAATTCCACAAATCGATTTTTTTTTACCTTTAAACAATAGTGCAAACATCTTCAGTGATCGTCGGCAATTCAAGTAGTAAAGGGAAAAAAAATGAATCAAACCCATTTCTTCCCGATTATTTAAAAGATTCTTTACTAGATAGATATAATAAAGAATTAAAATATCCGATTCCAATACCTACTTGTTGGAATGTAAATGATTGTTCTTCAGACCTGAAAATTGATGATAATCTGCTTTCGGTTAGATATAAGGGTAATCGCTTAGGAAAATTTAAAGTAAAGTATAAATATTTATAATTAGAAACTAAAAAGTTTTCATTGAAAAAAGGGAACAGGAAGGCTGCAGCAGTTAGAGCAAATTATTATATTCCAGAAGAAACTGGAATTTATTATTTTGAAGTTGATGTTTTAGATGGTGGAAATGGCGAGTACGTTTCAAAAAAATTTTTTTATCATACATGAATTAATATAAATTGAAGTTTCAAGCCTTTCATAAAAATCATATATGTATAGTTTAATATCGATTGGCGTTGCAACACCATATCTTGGTCTTAGAAGACACGTAGGTTTGTACTGGTGAAAAAAAATTCTTATAAAAAACATTTTAATATTTACAAGTCATTTAATTACTAGGATGGGATCCAGGTTCGAGAGGGTATCACGGTGATGATGGACTGAAATTTCTCGAACAGGGATTTGGATTCGAATACGGACCAACCTATACTACGGGAGATACAATCGGTTGTTGCATAAATTTTTTTTCTAGGTCGATTTTTTTTACTAAAAATGGTGTCAGTTTAGGTATTTTTAGGTTCATTAATTTGGTTTTATTTTACGAAAACGAAATTTGTATTAACTTTACAAAAAATCTAGGATATGCCTGTTCATTCTTCAAATTTGAAAGGTTATATCCAGCTGTAGGAATGAGAAGCAAGCATGCTTGGGTGGAAGCAAATTTTGGGAATAAGCCTTTCAAATTTGATATCAACTTATACACCAAAGTATAGACTTTTTTTTTTAAATGCTATTTCTTTTTATAAGAACTCAATGATTTTTATTTTTACTCAATATGTAGACCATTACTTCAGTGGAAGACTACTTCAGCGGAAGACTTAGAGTTTCATAATATTATAAAATGATTTTTATTTCATGCAAATAATTTGCTAAGATAGTTGTCAACACTATTACATACATGGTTTAATCAAAATCACTAAAAAATATTAAAATTATCAATCATTTACACAAACCTTCAAAGTATTATACGTACATCTAACAAGTACAAATGAATTTTATTCACACAAGTTAATTAGTTCAACTAAATAATACTTTTTTTGTTTTTGTTCAATAATTTTAAAGTAAATTCAATGTTCATCGTAGTCATCATATTCATCATATTCATCATCGTAATCGTCACCATCATCATAATCGACATCGTAATTTCTTACAGAATATTGAATTTTACTACTGTGTTTCCTTTTATCAATTTTTATACTCTTAGGTTGTCTTGTGCGTTTTCCGCCAGGTCCACGGTTCACCTTGATTCTATTAGCTCCATCAGGCTGTAACTTTGGCCGATTTTGTTTAGAATTTGTAGAATTGACTCTGCCTAGTCGGCCACGAGATTTAAGATTTGGAAACGGCATGTATACAATATCATCCTTAAATCCATCTGTTGCCATCACAATATATCCAGATGGCACCATAAAATATAAAGGGGATGATTGAATATTTATGTTGACAAGATTTGAATTGTGATAATCGTAAATTAATAAGCCAAAGCGTGGCCGAGGTCTAATAATATCAGATTCTCGTCTTTGATATACGATCAAAAAATAATGTGGAAGATACGGCATAGCTTGAACTATAGTTGCAGAATGTGGTATTTTCTGTGCAAATATTCTATGTACAAGTCGCGTATATGGACTTTGTCGTTTTATTCCTTCTTTATTTGGGTTATTCCCATCGATTTCAAGATAACCATAACACGGTCTTGTATTCGAGGATTTTGTAAGGCAGAATTGAACAACTATTGGAACCTTCATGTCTCCCTTGGTTTGTTTGGCTGAAATAAAAATCCAATTCCCATTGGATGGATAATTACATTGTAACCAATTCTGTACACCAATAAGTCGACATGATGTCAATCCCGTGTTCACTTCCCACACCATATTTAATTTTTGTATAAACTCCTTATCACCATCTGATTTAGGTGTAGTGGTATCCGGAACAAATATAAGGACATGTCCTCCACTACACGCTACTATAATTTCTGGTGATACTTGCAATTGTTTTTCTCGTTCTGTTATTAAAAGTGGTTGAATTTCACTACTTGAATTTCTCCATCGCACGGAAAAACTTTGTGCCTTAGCCGGTAGTTTTGCAATGTATTGTACAATATCTTTACGGAATTCTTGTGATTCAAAGCTTTCAAGATGTCGAATTTTTCTTAAATCCCAAGCACGAAGCATTGTTTCCTTTTCATTATTAAAATATCCCACAATCATAAAATCATTCGGATCCATATGGAACGCTGTGATTTTACCCTTGACTGTCTCTTGAATTACCGTAGGAGTGTAAATTCGTTGAGATTCGATCTCTACATCCGGTATTATAATCTCGAACCTATACCTTTCATCAAGGTCTAATGATGTAACCATGTGCTTGTAAACACTTACACATGTAGACAATTGAAAATTTCCTAGTTCTGTACCGGCAACCAAAAAATTGAATGAGGCTGCCAATTCCTTCAACGGTGGATTTCTTATATTGAAATTGCCGAGTGATTTATTGTACGAGAATATCTTACATGTTCCCAAGGCAATATCCGAAGAATACATGAAAAGGTTATATGCAAATTGAACTCGAACAATATTTCTAACCCAGTTGGCATCTCGAGCTAAATCATTCTGAGAAACTGTTACTCGTTGTATATCACAAGAATAATAATCAAATTTGTCACTGTTATTACTGAATGGAATCAATTTCACGTAAACCTAAACATCAAAAAAAAAAACCCCCTTTGTAATCGTTCCATAGAAGAAATAAATGTACAAAAGTTTTAAACATGCATGTTAATCAGAAATAATTACCTTGATCTCTACATTTGGCACCAAAGTGAAATCTACGTTCGAGATCGTGGGTCGTTCATCTACCACGCGAATGCCGCCAACGACTGTTTCATCAAGAACTAGCCGCTTCTGAGATACCAAAGCAACTGCGATACCACATTCAGTTACGTCAACGGCAAGAATGTCATACATATATTGATTTGATAATGCGAATTCACCAAAAAGTTTGTATCGAGTTAATGATTGTGAGGATTCATTAATCGTCGTGATGTTCGAATTTGACCATAACCGTGCCTCATGATATTCCTTGAAAATACATATATATTTATATGTCTGATCTTCAAGAAATAGCGGATGTTCAACTTTACCAAACCTTGATTCATAGATTTGTTTCCACGTATGATCATCTAAAAAAACCCCCCGAATAATAAATCATTAATAAAATTCGGTATTGAATTGTCAATAAATATAGGATTCTGCAGGTGCCGGCACGCGCAATATTAAAATACAGTGCACATTTCCGTACCTGGCATTATGATTTAATAGTATGCGTGCCGGCACTTGGAGAACCTTAATAAATAATTCGATATGTTATACCTTGCAGTATCGCTTCCCAAAGACGACAAACTAAACGCATTTTCAAAATTAAACGTATGGGCATAGCACAAAATATAAATAACAAAAGTTCACGGGTCACCAACACCTTATGACATCCTTTTGCAGTTACTACATACTTGGAAATACCAGTAGAAGAAATAGCGCTTGGTTCATTCAGTCGCAGGTGCTCAGCAAGCTGTTGACTCAGACTTTCCTCGGTCATTATCAGTATGTGATTTAATGCTTTGTGTGTAATTTAAAGTGTTGCGAAACAATTTATGGTGAAACTAATGAATATCGAAATTGATTTCGGTTGGTTTAAAATCTGCGGCCATGGAAATTTAGCATAGGAAATATTCCTCCAGGAGTTCACCTACCTCTGGTGCCGGGGCATGCCCATAGATAGATCTGGTGTCGTTACACTTCACAATGAGGGCAATTACGTAACTATTTTTGAAATGAATTCAAATTTGTACGTGATAAGAATAATACAGATGGTGGAGCTTGACTCAATTATCTCATATGCAGAAGTTTGTCTGATTGGTTAATAAATTCAATTTACTTTTACATTATTTATACAGTTTCGAGGTACTTTTTAAAAAAAAACGTAATCCAATCATAATGATTAAAAAAAGCTGTATAGAAGGTTTCATTAGAGCTGTAGGACTCCATGGCCAAAATAAGACCTAATTCTCGTCCGTTTAAAAAAGTTAGAATAGTAATAACTTCTCAAAACCCAATAAACCCAATTTACTACTAAGCTAATTTTTTTTAAACGGACGAGAATTAGATCCTATGGAGTCCTACAGCTCTAATGAAACCTTCTATACAGCTTTTTTTATTTCATTATGATTAGTTTTCGTTTTTTTAAAAGTACTCTAAACAAGAGTTCGCTCCAAAAGTACCGGTCAGGTGATCCGCGCCGCAGCCGCAGTAAAGTAGATCGAGTCGAGGCTTTAACCGTATACTTCATTTTTTGGAATTCCCAAAGAGCGAAGAGTTGTAACCTTGACTTTTTTAAACTTGAAGCTTTAGGCACTCAATGATAAAATTTTAATTTATTGGAATATCTACATATCACGGCACTTATATCATTTGCTTATTGAGCCTCTTTGCGATTTTTTTGTTCATTATGATCAATTTTTTTTAATTTCTTAAAGATAATTTTATATCCAAAAGACGAAATTATTTTTATATAAATTTCTATTTCATGATTAGTAATCGATGAATAACAATTGTTATAGAACCTCTTATAACTTGAGTAATATTCTTTCTTTTTGTAAAACAATTCAACATTTCTAGACTTTTGATAGTATATTTATATTTACTTTTTTTATCAAAAAACTTTACATTATTATTTTTACATAATTTTTCATCTATTAGAAATTTATATTCATTTTCATAAGTAATTTATACTCATAATCAAGTCCAATAAAAGATTTAACAAACTGTTCAATTTTATAAAGTTTTTTGTTATAAGTTTTATAATTTTTTGTAAACTCAATCATTGCATTTATAACAATTAGTTTTATCATATATTATATAATGTTAATTAGCTGTTCATAAAGAATCAGTAGTATGTATTTTATTCTTTTTTTGAACTTATATTTTTTAAAATTAGGTTATTTATTTTTTGAAACTAAATTAATTTTAAAGTTAAAATTGAAAATGTTTTGATATTTGTCTTATTAGCTTACTAATTTTTTTACAAAGTAAATAGATTTTTTAATAAAATAATTTAGAGAAATTTATTTATCGCATAATGTGATAAATATTATTCATCGCACAATATCACGTAACCGATTTTCATAGCACAATATCACGCGACCCGATTTTATTTGCCAATACAGCAATATTTTATTATATGAAAGTTTAGATAAAATACAGGATATAAATTTATCAAACATGCCATTTAAATACATGCGTATTTATGTTGTATTTATTTGTTACAGACTTATAAACATATTATTATCATTTTCAGGATCTACTTACTCTAATTTCATTCCGCTAGTAAAGTATATACGAATGAAACGTTCACATCAATAAAAGAATAGACTATAAATGGATCTGTATTATTTCGCTGACAATCACTTCATAGACACCACATTTTACCAACAATTATTCACCTACAAGTTTATTTCACCGACAGGTTATTTCACTGAAGCTCATTTCATCAACAAGTTTTTTTTTTTAAATTGCACTACCTTTAACTCTAATTCTAACCTGACACTAACGACAATGACTAAACTACTTTGTCTGTGAAATGAGCTTCAGTGAAATAACCTGTCGGTGAAATGAACTTGTCGGTGAAATGTGGTGTCTATGAAGTAATTGTCTGTTAGTTGATTGGAACCGCTATAAATTATATAGTCCATTCTTTTTGTATTCTCAAAATGGTAATCTACAAAATTAATGTTAATAATGTCCATCTGGTATATGCAGAATAATACAGATGTTACAAGTGGACTATCTAGCATTATCAATCTAAAAATTTTGCTATCTGGTCAAATTATAATTCAAAATTACTGTAACATAAAATTAAACTCAAATTCTAATCCAATAATGAAATTTTGTAGATTGGTTTCATTTGAATTTGCAAAATCAATTTATACTAAAAGATCATGCTATAGCATAAAAAAAAATTCAAATATTATTAATAACAAGTTATGCAATACATATTACCTTGCAATTATATAAATTCTACATGATCTAAACTGAGTGTATAGTAATCTTAAATACTATATATATAAAACCATTATGTTTACTAAATATGCTAGTTATTTTTTTCACTAGGGCATTTAGAAGCATAATGACCTAATTTATGGCACAATTCACACTTATATCCATTATTATTATTTTTTTGATCATTTGTTATTGAATTCTCAAAGCCTTTGTAAACATTGCTTTGGATTTTATTAATATACCTCTTCTTATTATAGGACTTAATTTGTTTGCTAGCAGGTTTACCTTTGTCTTGAGGTTTTGGTAGATTCTTGATATTATTTGTATTATAATTATGTCTGTTAGATGATTTTATCATAATGTTTAAATCCATATTTTCATTAAGAATATTGCTTTTTAGCAAACTGTATTTATTTCTAGACATTACAATAACATTCAAGAAGTTTAAATATGTCAACATAT